GGGAGAGAGAGAATCCCAAGCAGGCTCTGTGATGTCAGCACAGACCCCGTTGTGGGGCTCAGAGAATTCATGAACCGTGAAATCATGACCTGAGGTGAAATCATTCGGAATCGGATGCTTAACCGACTGAGCCCCCCAGGTGCCCCGAGCCCCGTTTCCTTAACAAGAAAGAGGTGGGGCTGACAAGTCTGTCCCAGATTCGAGGGCTGAGTCTAGTCCTGTAGACTCAACATTCACTTTGTAGTCAGGGTCCTGGGAAGAGGTAGCTGTTGAGATCAGCTTTCGTTCCATACCCAGCTCCTATCTGAACTTGTCACATACGTACTCTTGGAAGAACAACAGTTCTCAGCAGTTTTCTGGAAATGGGGAGTCTCCGAGACAGGTCACAAACAAATGGGAACCCCCAAAATAAGTGCTACCGGCCCCCTGTGTATTAGGCACATGCTGGGTGTGGAACGTGATGGCCATTCCCTCGAAGACCCCCTTTGTGGGCGAGGGGCAGTGGGACTCTTGCTCCTGCACCAGACAGCCCAGCACACACGACGGAATTCGGCTCATTTGCTCCATTTCTCCTCCCTCTTTGTTATGGGGCTTCTTGGTTTCTCTTCCCTCAGAGCCCTTCCGGCACCACTCAGGATTCTGGAGGGGCGGTTTCCCAAAACACCTTCACGGTGCATGCAAACACACACATGTGGGAATGTGTCTGCAGAGTTTTCAAAGGCCTGCCCCCCTAACAACCGGGAAGCTCTTGCTTATCCACTACATGTGTGTCTTCCCTGCACTGAAGATTCTTGGTCGAGGGGGAAACCACGTGCCTTCCGGTCAGTGGTCACGGTTCTGATCAAAGTGTGGCAGCTGTGAAGGGTTTAAGACTCAGATTACCTAGACGTCCTCTCTCTGTCGGAGACCCTGTCTACTGTGCAGCTGGCCCTGCCCTGGGCACACCCTCTACCTCACTCGTCCCAACAGCCCCGAGAGGGAGGCAGGGACAGACCCTTTTTACAGATGAAGAGGCTTAAAGTAAGCCATGAGCCCCAAGTCACAAAGCCGCTGAGAGGCGAAGCTGGGACTTGAGCTCTGGCCAGAGAGGTCCAGACATGTGTTCTCTTCACCGCCCTCAGCTGACAACTCATCCTCAAGGGGCTCACGTGGGAAAGAGGCCCAGACCAGCCATAATGATGTGAGCCAGAGCACATGGGGGTGTCAAGCAGAAAGGAAGGCTGGCCCTTCCTCTTTGGCCACTGCCCCCACTGTTCACACCCTGAGTTCCAGCAGCTGCACCCACCAGCACTTTCCACCATCACCTCACTACTGGGCTCTCCGTGCCCACAGCACAGACTGCCCCTTCATCCTCACAACCAGCTCCTGATCAGCCTTCAAAACCCAGCCTGAGTTGCCCCCTCTGAGAAATGCCTGCAAATTCACTCTGTCCTGCTTGCTGAACCAGGTACTTGGGCTCCCAGAGTGCCCTGGACACGCTGTGAGGCAATGTGGCCTGCCCTCCTACCCCAGACCTTAAACTCCTCAGGGTAGGGCTGTTCCATTTCTGCCCTTGTGAGCCTCATAGCTTTGTTCAATAACACTGTTGGCTGAAACAGGTGGGCAGCAGGGGTGGGGTGGGATGGGCGGGGGGAGTCAGGGCATGTGAGGTGGGCCCTCAAGGACTCAGCGACTTCCAACAGGCAGGGACGGATAAGAGTATCCAGGAGTGAAACACAGTATGGAACAGGGTGATTTCTAACTACTATTCAACTATATCTCAATCCTCTGGCCTTATCAACCTCCACCACATATTAGGCAACAGAAGTACATCAGCTTGTCTTGGACACCCCACGACCTCAGAAGGGAGGGACTAGAACTGCGTGGAATTGTGCCCCAGCTCCTATGGCAAGCTGCGGGCTCAGCCCAGATGACTGAGAATCTGTATTCCTCCCCTCTGGGCAGCTGCCTGCAGCCAGCCTGCCCCCCGCAGATCTGACCTCAACTGAACCAGGAGGCTATTTAAAAGCCTGACCCAGCCCTGCGAACAGCTGAGGGGCCACATTTAGGGAGTCACGGGCCAGGTCTGATGGCTGGTCCCCAAGGGGCTAAAGAGCTGCCCCAGCTAATCTGTCGTGCTGACCGGGAGCGGTGACCGGGAATGTGGGCTGACAGGCTCCGATTCCCAGGCCTGCCAATGCACTATTAGCCATGGGATGTGAAGCAAGTGAATGTCCCTCAACTGTGGATCCTTCCTTTCTGCGACGGGCACACAAGTAGGGCCGATACGGGATCAGACGCAGTAATGCTTGTCAAATACTCCGTGCACGGTGCCTGAGGCCCAGTGAGATAGGGGCATTCCCTCATGCCCCTGTGGTCAGCCCAGCACTCCCCAGGCATCCAGCCACCAAGCAACAGGCCAACACTCGTTTCCAGGGGGCCTCCTTGACCCCCAACAACCAAATGCCAGAGGTGCGGGGCGGGGGGGGGGGGGGGGGGGGGGGGGGGGGGAGGGGAGGCGGAATCAAACCAACCACCGGTTCCTCCCCGCTGCACTCAGATCGCAGCACCCAATGCATCTCTCCGGAACCCAGAGCAACAGAAAGTCAGTCCGGAGGTGTCCTCATGATGGGGACGGGGGCACTCCACACCGGGCAGGTGGACCTCCTGCTCACTCAGCCAAGATCGCCCCCTCATTAAACTCCACCTGTTCGCCCCATCCCACTGCCATCAGCTCAGCTCCCTAGAACACCTGCCCTTTCTTCACCTGCCTCCAGGAGTGTGGTGATCGGTACAAACATCAGGTTTGTCTGCCCTGTTTTTACCTATGTACCGAATTTTATCAGCACTCCTTAGAAGCCGTTAAGAAACATGGAGAAACACAAAGTCCCAAGCGTAAACAGACAATGAATGTCCCAGGTTCTTACTCAGTTCCCCGAATTTTAACGTTCCCCACTCACGACACGACATCCAAATTCCCACATGGACCACTGGAGGCGGGGCCTCCGTCTGCCCTTTCACGGTGTTGTCTGAGGCAGGGGCCACCATCACGCCCTCCTGAGCACCTGTTTCCCACCCCCACCCCCCCACACCG